CAAATTCCATCTTTTAGTGAGACCTCCTTGGGCATCCCACGTAAATCAGCAACTCCCCACCCGCTAGCATTCCCTATTTCCTCTTCCTCCTTTATTTTTCTCCATAGCACTCCTCACCATATGACCATCGTCTTGTATTTCCCCACTGCAATGTAAGCTCCAAGAGGACAGAGATCTTAGTCTGTTTGTTCACTGATCTACCTCCAGTGGGCTAGAATACTAGTCTGGTGTCCAGTGTGCATATGTGCGTTTGGGAGAGTGAGGCAAGAAATTATGGTGGCTACCTATCTGTGATGGACCAAGTAAGTGGTTTACTCAGGAATTAAAGCTCCATATTTTAAGTCTTGTTTTTTTTTTTTTTTTTTTTACAGTCTTTCTGATTATTGTTACCTGTCCTGATTGTTTTAACCCTTACTATACTCTATACGCTAGTAAGCACTCAGTTTTTCTCTCATTAGTTCATGTGTATTAATCTTTCCCCAAATACTTGGTAACTTCTGGAGAGAAAAGATAACATGTATCTTACTGGTATGAAGTGCCCTTTTCAAAGCTCTGAGAATAGGGAAATAAGGATGTAAAATCAACATACTGCTGGTAAATTATCCCTGAGGACTGTGAAATTAGATTATGAAGATCAGAGTTTTGCCCCAGGCCACACCCAAGATAGTGAAAGGTAGAGGTGATTCAATTGCAGAGTGTGCTGTGAGGACACAGCCTGACACATAGGGGGCCCTCGAGTGTGCGGGAGAAGGTGGACTGGTAGAGACATCTTTCAGAATCATCTGGCTCTCTCCTAATTCAGACTCACTATCCGACAGGTTGATTTGTTAATCAGCTTCCTAGGTACTTTAGTATTAGAAGACATGTGCTATGTCACTTTGTTACTACATAACTTGATATTCATATTTGCTTTAGTCCACCTTAGGGACTAATCCTTTAGTTCCTGTAAGATCTAAGCAACAGAGACAGGACTGTAATAAATACTCCTTAATAATATCCCTCTACCTAGTCTTTTATTTGAAACTGAGCCTAATGACATCTTTCTCAGGTAAATGAATCTGCAGTGAAATAAGAACAAAAGGTCTATGCTAGTAAAACTTTTTTAAAGGCTATTTTCAGTGTATTCCATACCTAAGTACAGTTGACTCTTGAACAACATAGGGAGGGTGGGGGAACCAAACCCCTGCACAGTCAAAAATTTGCATGTAAGTTTTGACTCCCCCAAAACTTTACTAATAGCCTGCTGCTGACCGGAAGCCTTACTGATAACACACAGTTGATTAGCACATATTTTGTATGTTATTTTTATATTGTATTTGTATAATAAAGCTAGCTAAAGGAAAGGTGCTATTAAGAAAATCATAAGAGAAAATACACTTAGAGTACTGTACTATAAAAAATCCACATATAATTAGATCACATGTTTAAGCCTGTGTTGTTCAGAGTTAGCTGTACTGTTAACACATGCAATTGTCCATCCTGGGTCTCAAATAGAGGAATGGTACGTGCAAGTTTTGTTTTTTTTTTTTTTTTCAATTTTGTCAGTGTGCATGAGAGCAAGAGCATGCGGGGGGTGGGGGCAGAAGAAGAAGCGGGCTCCGCGCTGAGCAAAGAGCCCAATGTGGGACGCGATCCCAGGACCCTGGGATCATGACCTGAGCCAAAGGCAGACGCTTAACCGACTGAGCCACCCATGTGCAAGTTTTCTTAATAGAAATATGTATGTCTCTAGTACAAATAATAGAGATGTTATTTGAAAGTTGCCACCTATTGTAACCTAGATGCATTTTTCCGAAAATTCTTTATTTTTTTATTCATTTAATTTTTTTTAAAGATTTTATTTATTTATTTGAGAGAGAGAGAATGAGAGATAGAGAGCACGAGAGAGAAGAGGGTCAGAGGGAGAAGCAGACTCCCTGCTGTTTTTTTCCCGAAAATTCTTGAGGAAATTAGGATCCTTTAACAAGCCCTCATTTGAAAGGTCTGTAAGCAGGTCTAGAGAGTTGTGCACAGCTAAACAGTGATAGAACAGGACTGAGATTGGTCTGTGGATGCCTATCCCATTCAAGGCCTTACTACTTAGCCATGCTACAGTGTGTTCTTCATCTTTCTTGCTGCAAAGCTTTGTCTTTTGAGGGTAGTTTTAATTTTTGAAAACCACCAGAACACTTTGAGAGGCCCAGTCACAAATAAGATGATCAAATTTAATAATCTGCTGGTGGTCCAAAATGAGTTGGCTTTGGCAAGAGTTTTCCTTGAGTGTGTGGCTAATAGCCTATAAATGCATTTTCAAAACTAAACCAAAAAAAGGACAACAGAATGATGGAATTAGAATATCCATTTGCTTCGTTTCACATCTACATAACAGTTTCAGAATAACAACCCAAATACTACTACTACTGATTATGATCACTGAAAATGGTTTAAGTTTATTTTTCAATTTTTTTTGTAACCTCTACACCCAACGTGGGGCTCGAATTCACAACTCTGAGGTCAAGAATTGCATGTTCTTCCAACTGAGCCAACCAGGTGCCCCCAGTTTGAAATTTTTTAATTGAATATATTTTCCTCATTCTGGTCTCTGCCCCCCCTTTTCAGTTGTATTAAGTCTTCATAAGTTCCTTGTGGAATCACATAACCATTATCTATTGTACTCTCTCAACCTCATTTAGACTTGATTTTCTAAGTAGCTATATGTTTAGTTAATGCTTACCACCCATCTTATATCTAAGTCTTGCTGATCATTTTGTTCTGAATTTGTGCTTTAGTTCCAGAGGTAGCAAAAATTTTTCTGCCAAGGACTGGATAGTAAACATTTAAGCTTTGAAGGCCAAAAGTGATCCTATTCCATATTTGTGTGTGTGTGTGTGTGTGTGTGTGTGTCTGTGTGTTTATTTTTTTAAGGATTTTATTTATTTGAGAGAGAGAAAGACCACAAGATGGGGGAGGGTCAGAGGGAGAAGCAGATTCCCTGCTGAGCAGGGAGCCCGATGCAGGACTCAATCCTGGGACTCCAGGATCGTGTTTATGTGTTTAACAACCCTTTAAAACCATTCTTAGCTCGAGGACTATACAAAAATACCTCTGACTACAGTTTATCAGCCCTGCTCTACAGTTTCCTCAAGAAGGGCTCATGGAGTCAGTATTCCAGTGTTGCTGGATATAAATTCCTTGTTCACATATAGATGAGCCATATATAAAAAGTTTGAGTTATATATTTAAAATATGTACCTTCATTTTCTCTTGGCATAAAACATTGCAGTTGCAGTCTCATGATAGTCTAATTTTATTTTCCTTATAAGTTACTTGGACGTTTTTGCCTAGATGCCCAAGGGATTTCTTTCTTTTTCTTTACAGTCCAGTTGGTGTTGGTCATTCTGGGTTGATATTCTCAGGTATGTGATGTGTTTTTCAGTATGTAGTTTTGAGTAATTTTTTCAGTTTTTTTTCTTTTTTTTTAGAATAAAAAGATAAGGCAGACCTTTATGTATCTGATGTTTAAATATATCCATGATACATGCCTTTTTTTAACCTTATATAATTTTTTATTTTAAACCATTTCATTTTTTTCCAGCTTAATTGAGATACAATTAACAGATAAAATAGTATATATTTAAGGTATACCACATGTTTTGGTATACATATACATTGTGAAATTATTACCTCAACCAAGCTAATTAACACATCTGTCACCTCATTTACCTTGTATGTGTTGAGATCACTTAAGATCTATTCTCTCAAAAGATTTCAAGAATACAATACAGTATTAACTATAGTTACCATGCTGAAATTATATCTCCAGAACTTAATTCAACCCTGCATGATTGAAATTTTTTACTCTCAAAAGTTCTTGATTTACATGTAGTTTTTAGTATTTGTTTCATTTCCTTGCATTGGTTTTCCTGCTACAAGAATTCCTGTTACCCCAATATTGGATCTTTGCTTAAGTTAAGCACATAGTATTCACCACTCTCTCTCAAATGCTTTATCTCCTAATGCTCTTTGTTGCCTTATTTCTGAGTTTCCTAATTCTGATTTAGGCTATTCTCTCATTTTCTTAATGACTTTCAGCTCATTTCAATAAGATAGTTTTGATTTGGTTCCTGGGCATATCTTTCTGGTATTTCATTGTCTGAAATGGATGTTTTTCTGTTCCTTATTCTCTTTATGTGAAGGTTTTTCTAACTTTTTAGAAGGAAGTGCTGTTCAAGATGGTTTTTCTGGCTTCACATAACTCCTCAAATACATAAATTCCTGTTGGACACTATTACTCTCTCTTTTTTTTTTAAAGATTTTATTTATTTGACAGAGAAAGACACAGCGAGAGAGGGATCACAAGCAGGGGGAGTGGAAGAGGGAGAAGCAGGCTTGTGCCGAGCAGGGACCCCGATGCAGGGCTCGATCTCAGGACCCTGGGACCAAAGCCAGAGCGCGCTGATGGATAGTTAACATCTAAGAGAAATGGTTACGGATTTAACCCAGCTGTTACTTTCCATAACAGAGCGATCTGTATAGATGAGGTAGCCAGAGTAGCAGCCTGGCTTTTCTCCAGGCTTATCATGGGCTTTCTAACATTTGGCTCTTTACAAACTAGCCTTCAAGTTTTTATTAAAATATTTAGAAAAAAAGGAACGCAGATTCTGTTGAGCCATGCTTTCATAATAAGACTGGGTTTATAAATTATAAAGACAAATCCTAAATTAGAAGGGACCATAAAGATCAAGGTATTTTTCCCTTAAAAGAATTATCCTAGTTAATCAGAGACCAATTTTAACATTAGTATTTCAGTTAACCTGTCCTAGTAGAAAGTTAGAACCTGGAAACTCCTTTAAGCCACCTCTGCGGACATGGCTTCATACATGAACCTGGCGACATTGCCCTCAGTCGAGTTCTTGGCTTCTATGGACAGTAAATGTTTTATCTTCTAGTTGAGCTGAGTGAAAATGGAAGAAAGGCAGAAAAAGGAGCTGAGTGTATAATTGTGCTTTCCTTTTCTGTAGTGTGTTCCATGGGAAACGGTACGAGCAGACTCTATAGTGCTCTCGCCAAGGCACTGAACAGCAGTGCTGCCTCCCAGCACCCAGAATATTTGGTGTCACCTGACCCAGAACATCTGGAGCCCATTGATCCTAAAGAACTCCTCGAGGAATGCAGGGCTGTCCTGCACACTCGACCTCCCCGGTTCCAGAGGGATTTTGTGGATCTGAGGACAGATTGCCCCAGTAGCCACCCACCTATTCGAGTCATGCAGTGGAACATCCTCGCCCAAGGTATGCCTGATGCTTTTGTACCCAAGCTGTGAAGTTTGCTATGACTGCCTGGAGCACTGATGTGTTATGTGGATGGAAGAGGTGTGGGCAGATAGAGATGTAGGAGGATGGGGTGACTAGGGCAGCACGAGGAGTTCCCCGAAGGGGAAAGTAAGAAGGAAGGCCGTCCGGTTTCCAGGAATAAATCCAGCACTCAAGATTTATACCTCACCTTCCATGTTTAAAGGACCCTCCCTGTCTTTTATCAGCCTCAAACTTCTGTTACTTCCAACTCCCAGTCCACCGGGCTAAGATAGTGTTTGTAAGGGAGAAACAGAATCTGCTGAATGGGTGACAGGTAGAACTTTCTGCAAGGAATGGGAGCTCTGTGGGTGGTAGTGAGTCTGGGTATTCTTGAGGCCAGATTCCCACCCACATGCATCTGTATAACTTGAGGTCAAAGGGATATTGCTTTACTTCTCTGTTGATTAAGATACTACTTTGTTATGGTGGTAGGACACGTTTCCTAGGCCTGCTGAATTAAAAAGATGTATCATTGAACTCTCTGTAGTGTTGCCTTTCATGTAGCAGTTGAAATTTATAAGAAAAAGAAACAAAGGCAGCTTTTTAAAGAAGGGCATATACCCTGACTTTTCAATCTTAGATTTTTTTCCCCTAGGTGTTCGTCCATAAGTAGGAAAAGCTGCCTATTTAAGTTAGGTTCCATATCACTTCATATGGCTCATTATAGGGTTAAAATTAGTGTATAGATGGGGCTCCTGGCTGGCTCAGTCAGTAGAGCATGTGACATTACTTGTAGACATTACTTAAAAATAAAATCTTTTTTTAAAAAAGTTAGCATATGGGCGCCTGCGTGGCTCAGTCAGTTGAGTGGCTGCTTTTGGCTCAGATCATGATCCCAGGGTGTTGGGATCTAGCCCTGCATCGGGCTCCCTGCTCAGTAGCAAGTCTGCTTCTCCCTCTACCCCTCCCCCCACTCGTGATCTCTCACTCACTCTCTCAAATAAAGTAAAATCTTTAAAAAGAAAGTTTGCATATAAAGTTAAATATATTTATTTCATCTGACATAGTTTCTATCCCAGGAATTACAAAGAACACTTTGTTTAAGGCTCAAACTTAAAAATTAAAAGATTTTTTGTCCTAGAATATTAAGTCACACGAAACAGTTTTAATATGAAAGAAAATACATTGCTTGCCTTATCTCGATATTAAGAGGTTATTTAGGCTGGTAGGTTTTGTTTTTGGGTTTGGGTTTTTTGGACGGAGAGAGAGCACGCGCATGTACGTGTACACACATAAGCAGGGGAGGGGTAGAGGGAGAGAAAATCTGAAGCAGGCTCCACATTCAAGAGCAGAGCCCAATGCAGGGCTCAGTCTCACGACCCTGAGACCATGATCTCAGCCGAAATCAAGAGTCGGACGCTTAACTGACTGAGCCACCCAGGCGCCCCAGTTTGGTTGGTTAATACAGTTTAGACAGAGAAGAATCACCCAAAGTATCAAGTAGAGAAAGCATTCTGAGGGTTTTGAGTAGTGTTAAACTGAAGGAGACTTCCAGGTACTTAGCTGCTATAGAACCATGACTTCTAAATACCTGTGACAACTGACTGGCTTTTTTATTTCAGCTCTTGGAGAAGGAAAAGACAACTTTGTACAATGCCCTGTGGAAGCACTCAAGTGGGAAGAAAGGAAATGTCTCATCCTAGAAGAAATCCTAGCCTACCAGCCTGATATATTGTGCCTCCAAGAGGTGGACCACTATTTTGACACCTTCCAACCACTCCTCAGTAGATTGGGCTATCAAGGCACGTTTTTCCCAAAGCCCTGGTCACCTTGTCTAGATGTAGAACACAACAATGGACCAGATGGCTGTGCCTTGTTTTTCCTCCAAAACCGATTCAAGCTAGTCAACAGTGCCAATATTAGGCTGACGGCCATGACATTGAAAACCAATCAGGTGGCCATTGCACAAACTCTAGAATGCAAGGAGTCCAGTCGACAGTTCTGTATTGCTGTCACCCACTTAAAAGCACGTACTGGTTGGGAACGATTTCGCTCAGCTCAAGGCTGTGACCTCCTCCAGAACCTGCAGAACATCACCCAAGGAGCTAAGATTCCCCTTATTGTTTGTGGGGACTTCAATGCAGAGCCAACAGAGGAGGTCTACAAACACTTTGCTTCCTCCAGCCTCAACCTGAATAGTGCCTACAAGCTGCTGAGCGCTGATGGGCAGTCAGAACCTCCATATACTACCTGGAAGATCCGGACCTCAGGGGAGTGCCGGCATACACTGGATTATATCTGGTATTCTAAACATGCTCTAAGTGTGAGGTCAGCTCTTGATTTGCTCACTGAAGAACAGATTGGACCCAACCGGCTACCATCTTTTAATTATCCTTCAGACCACCTATCTCTAGTGTGTGACTTCAGCTTTAATGAGGAACCTGATGGACTTTTATAAATGCTTGTCTTTGTAATCACAAGAGTCTTAACCAGGGATGTTTCAGGAAACTAAAATAGGATAAGAAGTTGCCTGAGGAAGGATTCCCAGTTTCTTTTATGTCATTTTCCATGTTTCCAGCATGCCCTTGGGAAGGAATCCCATTAATCCACAAACCTTTTCCATTAAAACCTACAGCAAAGAAGGTGTTTGCACTCCAGTTTTGGCTTGTATTATTTTCTTTCCCTTAGCATTACATTTGGATCATTTAAGGGCATTAAAAATGAGGCTTGTTTTGTAGCTTTTTCACTTTAAGGATGCTATATAAAAATAGACTTGCTTGAGTCCTCCATAATTAACAATAAGTATACAGGAGCAATTTCTCTAGATAGCATTTCAAGTTATTTATTTGTGGTTTTTAAAATGTCAGCAAGATATGCATGGCAATATTTATTTTTTTATATTTTCATATAAGATTAAATAGAGCATTGTGAACGTTTTAAAACCATGCAAAACATAAGTTACAGAGTAATTTATAGTGATTTTCTTAAATGTCTAAGATCTTTTTATTTGGGATCTAACAATATTAGTGTATAAAGGGACTAGCCTGACAGGATTTTTTGTTTATTTAAGTGGAAATATCAGGTCTCCTTGATAGTTTCTTCATAAGTAATCCTTGCTATGCCTCCATGTTCCCATTATTGTGTCTTAGATTCCATAGTCTTCATTATTGAATCACTGGTAGGCATTTATAGCTTTCCATTGGAATGCTATGATACACATTTGAGGTCACTCAATGTCTGTTTGTATTGGACTGTGCTTTTCACACTAGGTTATTTAGGAACTGTTATATGGCAGTAGCTAAGAAAGTAAGTGGGGCTTCTTTTAAGAGATAGGAAACTAGAAAGCCTATTAATGAGGCTATCCTTAAAATCTCCTAAGAGAGCCAAGTGGCTAGTTCAAAATGTCTAGAAAGAAGAATGTAAAACGTTAGAAAGATAACTTGGACTTCTCTTCCATAAGAAATAAAAGTGGTACAAGATAACAGGTGAAGCCCCTTTCAAGCAAAATCCCAACAAATAACCTATTGGTAATAAATTGATAAATACTTCAACCCATGAGTTGTAAATATTTAAGAATAATAAATGGTCTTTTAAAGCTAGTGATTTTAATATCTTGTCTTTTTAGTCCAAAAAGAATCTGGGAGTAGATTTGATCTTTTAATACTGTTAACATGGTGACCCAGAGTATTCCATTTACACACAGACCTTCATTTTTTAAGTGGATCTGTAGCTGCACATTGAAGGCATCTATGCTATGCTTATGTAGTATCCCTAGGGATCACGGTTGGAGTTCCGCAAAATGGTTCACCCAGATATTCTGCATTAGAACTACTTTTGAAATAAATGAGGTTTTCAGTACATTGTATACACAAAATCTTGGGGCTTCCTGGAAGGAATGGCTAGCCGGAAGAACATCTGTACCAACTGTCATTTGGTTCAAATCTTAGCATGATAATGGTACCATCATCGCTGTTGAGAAACCAAATACTGATCGATACAGACATTAAATATTGTTTGCGTACCCGAAAGTACACCAACCTGAAGAGAAACTATCACAACAGCTCTAAGAGAGCAAATCCGGATGAGAATGAAAGCAAAAATAATGTTTGCATTTCAAATGTTGTCCACCAATATATGAATTAACAGGCTATGGGTTGAGGGTTAGACTAGGGGTGGCTGGGAATGCTAATGAGCAAAAAAGCTGGAAATAACCATGTGATTATAATGTGCCTATAAATTAAGGAAATGGGAAAATTATAATGGAACTCTCCTTGAGTTATCCTTTGGAGTTAGGGCAGTATGCTTCTGTTTGATGGTTTTGTATTTGTCTTTATTTAAAATGGAGTTATGTGAGCATTTTATGTAAACAATTTTTAGTAGTATATTAAATCTTGTTGGATTGTGCTTCATATTTTATTTTTCCTTTTAAGTCTTTGTAGACACCTTTGCCTTATGGTCTATCAGAGTAACCAAAAGCAGAATGGTAAGTAACAAATCTGTATTGTAAATTTTTAGGCATGTTCCATTTAATGAATTTCTCTTATTCCACCCCTCTGTACCTTTTGGTTCAGCTTTTCCTTTTATATCGCATAATATTTTAACCGTGGTCATAATAAGAGTCTTAAAAGAGAAGTAAATTGTGCGTATTTGAAGAGAATGAGAGTGGCAATGGATTTTTTTCTTTCTCCATGCCCTGTTTCAGTAGATTGCCTTCTACAAGGTGAAAGGAATAGGAGTGACCACTTCATTCATTTAAGCAAAGAATAATGGTGTATACATAAGAAGAAACTAACATTTGAGTTCCTTACCTTTGGCTCCAAGAGCTTTCAATACGATCTTTCAACTACTCTGAATTAATTTTTCTGCAACTATTAATTTAAAATGGGGTGTAAAACACCAAATCATTTGACCAAAGTGACAGCTAATAGAAGGAGAGCCAGTATTCAGACCTAGGTCTGTCTTGACTCCAGAATGCTTGCTTCTTTCCCCACCAACATGTTCCCTTGGCCTTGAGTGAGTACAGCTGGAGACAGAAGTGATATGTGGGGGAGGAAGAGATCTGTTCCAGTGAAAAATGGTCAGACATAAGGCAAATACTTCGTAGTACATATGCAATATAGAATAGAAGCAAGATACAGAGGCCAAATCGCAGCTGAAAGAGCAGATCTCCATTATTCCAATACAGTAAAGTAGTTAAAAAGTAGAACATCTATTACTGTTTGCATACTTCTTTTTAGAAGGAAGCAGTAAGAACAGTTACTCTAATAGTGTTTCAAACTAGAGGAAGAAATTGATGCAGATATTCTGTATTGGAGCCATTTTCTAAGAACATCCAAGATTTTATAATAGTGAATGTTGCATATAATTAGATAATGAGTTTTAGGCTTGAGGAAGTTTATATCCAAGATATAAATTCTAAAAAGATAAAAACACATGCTCATAATCCTAATTGATTTCAATTTTAGAAAAGGAAAGGCATCCAAAAAATGGATGTACTTGCAGAAAGAGCTTTTTTTAATGACGTGTGTGTATAAAAATACGGCACAGGCAAGCTTTCATCTAGAGGGGCTTAGATACCAGAGTGGGAGAGGACCGGAGCTTCTAAAACAAGCAGAGGGAAGGGGCGCCTGGGTGGCTCAAGTTGTTAAGCGTCTGCCTTTGGCTCAGGTCATGATCCCGGGGTCCTGGGATTGAGCCCCGCATCGGGCTCCCTGCTCTGCGGGAAGCCTGCTTCTCCCTCTCCCACTGCCCCTGCTTGTGTTCCCTCTCTCGCTGTGTCTCTCTCTGTCAAATAAATAAATAAAATTTTTAATTAAAAAAAATAAAACAAGTGGAGGGAAAACAAGTAACATCAAACAGAGGGGCCCGGGCTCTAAGTGAAGACAGCTCTGCCCAGCATGGCCCTCAACAGGTTGCTCCATCTCTGGGGCCTCAGTTCTCTCATCCACAGAGGATTGTTTCGCACCTGCCCTGTCAACCCCATAGATTTGTGAGATGTTTGTAAAATAATATCATAAACTGTTACATAAGATATACACAGAAGTCAATGAACCTTGCTTCAAAAGTTCAAAGCAAGAAAGGGAAGGGCATTGGACTTGATGTCTTAAAATATTCATGGATGTTGTAACAACCCACTCTTAACTATTCTAAGAATAATCATCTTTCAATTTGAAAATGCAGAACAAATAGGGTTAATAGAAAATTAAGCCCCAAATAGGTGAAGATTTTTTTTTTCCTAATTGTTTCTTCCAAGCATATATGAAGTTGTAGGTGATCTGGTTCTTTAACTTCATGAGAGGATATCAACTCTACTTTGACTGGTAAAGTAAAAAATATTGCCTTTGTGTGATGAAACAGAATACTCATAATTCCAGGCCCTTGATCCCTAGATTTCTGGAAAGCTCACGTCTAAGAAAACATTCACCTATGATTAGACATGCGGACACAGCTATTCCTCTTGACAGAATGCTAGGAAAAGCTTTGTTGCTTCTAAGCAGCTGGTAAACTGGATTATATGAATCTCATTACTGATCAACTTACCTTTTTTGCTTTGGCTTCTAAGACATTCAAAACCAGACCTTATAGGGGCACCTGGGTGGCTCAGTTGGTTAAGCGACTGCCTTCGGCTCAGGTCATGATCCTGGAGTCCCGGGATCGAGTCCCACATCGGGCTCCCTGCTCGGCGGGGAGTCTGCTTCTCCCTCTGACCCTCTTCCCTCTCGTGCTCTCTGTCTCTCACTCTCTCTCAAATAAATAAATAAAATATTAAAAAAAAAAAAACAGACCTTATAGCTGAATTTTAATTACTTGGTGACACTTTACAATGTTGTAACAGTATGTGCTCTGTATGCTTTTGTCTTTTGCCATCCTGTCTTTTTTCTTTGCCTAATTTTCTCTTACCCTTTTTATTTTTTTGGCTTTCACTTATTCTTAGATTACGTAAACTATCTGAAATTCTTTTGGTAATAGAGTATAAATTATTTTGCTACATTAAACAGATTCAGGCATCTAGATGGAGACAGTTTGTGTACAAGAACGTCAAAATACAATTATAGATATTATCTGTAATATTATCTATAATATGGACAGACACGAATCAAGAAGGATGATGGAAGACTGGACACAGGGAACATGTTCAACATCTCACTTTGGTTTCCATAGATTGGTGAACCTGAAGAAAACATACAGCAAAATTCTACAACATTTTAAGATCTAGTTTGTGAGAAAGTAAGGATCATTACATGATAGGATAGCTAACTTCCCCCCCCCGCCCTGCCCCCCCTTTTTTTTTAGATGGGAGGGAATACAGGTTGAGGCTAAAACTAAATTGGGAGGCAGAGGAGGAGTTATGTTTTTAGGTGTGCCACTGATCAGCTGGACTGAGACTGAGGAGCGCATTTGTTCCTGAACCTTGGTTTATTTGTAATATAGGCAATGGATCAGACCACCTTAAGGTTTCTTTCTTTTTTTTGTTTTTTTAAAGATTTTATTTATTTGAGAGAGAGAATGAGAGAGGGAGAGAGAGCATGAGAGAGGGGAGGGTCAGAGGGAGAAGCAGCCTCCCTGCCGAGCAGGGAGTCCGATGCGGGACTCCATCCCGGGACTCCAGGATCATGACCTGAGCCGAAGGCAGTTGCTTAACCAACTGAGCCACCCAGGTGCCCCTACGTTAAGGTTTCTTAAAAACACTAAACTGAGGCACATCAGCACGATGTGAGTTTCTGCTGCCACAGCTCAAAAATACTGTTGCAATTTTTTGAAACTGCTTCCACATCCAGTTTTATGAAGGTCTCAAAACCAGTGTGAACTTAATAGCCACATCTCATTTTGAACCAAATATGGCATTATCTAGCTTGATTCACATCGGTTTATTAACCT